GGTTTGAAAAAATAAAAGCTTTGTAAAAACGAAAATCTGGTTGTACTTTTTACTTGTAAAGATAAAAAAATACAAGCAACAAAGTAAGACCTTGATTTTTTTTTTACACAGGGCGTAAAAAAAAAGGGGATAAAGATAGGGAAATTGCATCTTTTTTAGGTAACCTTCAAAAATACACACAGGGACAAAATTGTAAGATAAAATAGTTTGGATTTTTTTTGGGCCAAGGTTTCTAAAGAAAATAGATGTCTGGGTCAAAACCAGAGAATACAAAAAGTAGAAATATGACAAACAGTCTAGATAGTTTAAACTATAGAAAGGACGAACGGTTCATGACCATTTCTAGCTTGGGATAGAGGGCGTTCCTTCGGTGGGAAAAAATAGTGGTTGCCCTTGGTTCTGGGGTATTTTCTCTCTGTCTTCTTTGTTGGAGAACAAAACAAATTTTTGCATAGCAGAAATAAGAGACACAGACAAAAATCAAACATGATAAAATAGAGGAGGTAATCATATAAATATATCCATGGCTTTAGAAATGAATTTGTAGGGAAGTTAAATCATCTTTCAGAAGTTTTTGTTGGGAAAGATCAGAGGGGATTCTTCCACAATGTTGATTTCAACATTATTAAGCTGAGGTACTGATGCCTTGAAAGGGCCATTTACTACTGTATATCTGCAATTCGGTTTAAAATAGAGAATACTTGAGTAAGGTAATTTGTATGTATTTTTGGTTGCAGATGTTTTGTTCAATTCAGAGGCAGCACAATATTGAGTAATTCTCCCTTTGTCTGAACCGATAAAGGCAAACTCATCAGTATCTAATTGAACCACTAAATTCTCAGGATTTTGGGTAAGTACCAATGGACATTGTTTTTTGATTTTGTCCTCGTGTTCTCCTTGTTGAATTGTCTGCACACAGGAGTCTGTGTTTTGCGTCAAAGGATAGTTAAATTGACAGATTTGACAGTTGATGAAATTAAAAGGGGTAAGGCAAATGTGAAATTCTTCTTCTTTTATCCCAAAGTGATTTTTGCCTTGGGATAAAAAATAAGGATATTTCAATACCGCTTTTTCCCATTTGGGAGATCCTAAGTAGGTATCTCTTGCGATAGGTAAGGAATGGACCTTGAAGAACATATATTGGTCTTTTTGTCTCAGAATTGGGACTATGAGAGAGATTTGGAAAAAACAAGAGTCGTTGCTGGTCAATCCTGCNCAGGAGGGATCCAAATTTTCCATTCTCCTTCCTTGTCTTCCATGACTAGATTGTCTTTGTGTTGATATTTTTCGCCAGTAGGTTTATTTTGCACCTTCTTTGTTTCCTCTTGGATGATCATTTTTGGAATATAGGGCAACAGGGTTGTTTCCTGGAACGTTGGCGATAAATATGCGCATAAGGTGTTTACAGCAGGAGGATATCTGCTGAGCGCATCCGCATGGGGGATCTGCAATCCCTTTTTGTATTCCACCTTGTAGGAATATTTGTTCAACGTTGTAAACCATGTGATTGCCCTGCAACTGTTGTTTTGACATTGACGGCTTAAATATGGTATTGCAATGTGGTCCGTCTTGATGGTAAATGGATGTCCCCAGAGATATGACCAAAATTGTGTCACGCCATAGAACACTGCTAATATTTCTTGGTCAGTGTTTGGATAATTTTTCTCAGCTGGGTTGAGTGTTCTAGTGAATACTCGTTGAGTGTTGTAAACCACGTGATTGCTCTGCGGCTGTCGTTTTGACGTTGACGGCTCAAATATGGTATTGCAATGTGATCCGTCTTGATGGTAAATGGGTATCCCCAGAGATATGACCAAAATTGTGTCACACCATAGAACACTGCTAATATCTCCCGGTCGGTGTTCGGATAATTTTTCTCAGCTGGGTTGAGTGTTCTAGATGCACATCCGATGAGGACTTCCTTTTTTCCAATTTTTTGTGTAAGCACAGCCCCGATGGCTAGTGCAGAAGCATCCGTTGTCAAGATGAATTCTTGCGAAAAATCTGGAAATGACAGGATTGGTGCGGATAACATGCACTTCTGTAGGTCATTCATAGATGCTTGTTGTTCCTTGTTCCACTTGAAAGGGATATCCTTTTTTAGGAGGTCATACAGGGGTCTTGCACGTATTGCAAAATCCTTGATATATGATCGAAAATATCCTACAAGCCCAAGGAAGGCTTGGATCCCTTTGACGTCCTTTGGCACTGGAAAATGTCTGATTGCTTGGACTTTTTCAGGATTGACTTTTATTCCTTCTTGGCTGATGAGGAAGCCAAGATATTCAATTTGAGTGCGAAAAAGTTGGCACTTGCTGAATTTAACTTTCAATCCAGCTTTTTCCAGTCGTTGAAAAATATCCTTCAGGTGTGACAGATGTTGGTCAGCATTTCTTGAGTACACCACAATGTTATCGATGTAGATATACGCGTACATTCCCAAGCATCCATCCAGGACAAGATTCATGAGTCTTTGGAATATTGATGGGCTATTTTTGAGACCCATTGGAAGTCTGATGAACTCATAATGTCCTAAGGGTGTGGAAAAGCCAGTTTTCCAACGTTCTTCTTCCCGAATTTTCAGGTTATAAAATCCATGTAATAAGTCCAATGCTGTAAAATATTGGGCAGTTCCCAATTCCTCAAATATTTGGTTGATCCTCGGTAGTGGATGGGGATCCGTTATCACATGGTTGTTGAGGCGTCAAAAATAACCATCCTCCATCCGCCGTCCTTCTTCTTTACCATAAGAGTTGGACTATTGTATGGACTTTTGGAGGGACAAATAATTTCTTGATCCAATAGTTCTTGTACATATTTGGCTAATAATGGTCGCATGCCAAAAGGTATTGGATATTGTCGCGTATAGATGGGGATTGTCGTATCCAGCAGTATGTCAGCTTTGTAGATGTTGCATAAACCCAAAATACCGGTTTTTAAAGCCAATACATTCTTGTGTTTGGTGAGAAGTTGACACATTTTTGGTATGAGAGGAGGAGGACATTCCGATTTTTGTAGATTTTCTTCTATCAGTGTGTCAATATCTTGATCCTCTGTTTTCCATGGATCCTCTCTTTTGATTTGTTCTTCTTGATGGTATCCACTTGGCTTGGTGGGTCATATTTAAAATAAGATGCAAAAGCCAATGTTCTTTTTGGTGTTAGTATGACGTCATTTTCAGTTGGGTTCAGACATAAAACATGAACCTGTCCATTTCTCATTAAGGACAAACTTCTTCCAGTCATGAGGTCTTCTTGCTGTCTGATGTGTACGGAAATACCAGTGGCACATCCCTTGATTTGATGGGGTGTTGCTGGCTTGGTAAGTACCAATAATTGCGAGAATTTGGGTACTATGGTGGTAATCACAGGATACAGTTGAAATTGATGTTCTGATTGAAACTCAGCTTCAGGATCATAATGACTTGTTGGGATCATAATGATATGGTGGGTCTTAATAAAAGACCCACCAAGAAAGGTGGGTCTTTTATTTGGTCTCTCAATTTTTTTGCTGAACAGCTGGCAAGAGTTGGTGCCTCTCAAATTGAGGGGATGGGTGAACTGGGATGGAAGGGGGAGCTGAGCAGAAGGGGGAGCAAGGGGGGCATCTTCACCACCCCCCCCCCCTCATCAAAAATCTAGCTCCCTTTTCCTGGCTTCTTGTCACCCTTCTGCAGTATCAAATATCCCACCTCCAGCTGTTCGCAGCTGTCCATTTGCTGATCACTTTCTGAAAAGGAAATTTGGCTGGAAAAGACAAACAAGAAAGAGAATCAGAAGCCAAAAATTATTTTTTACAATTTCTCTATTCCCTTGACCCATATAAAAAGGCAGGTACAAAAAATGGCACTTTCTTTTTGACGCGTTTCTAAAAATTTACGCGTTCAACATTTCTTTGAAGGGGTAGTTGTCCTCAAGGACCAATTCTTCCTCCTTCTCTTCTTCGATGGGTTTATCCGCCTCTTCCAGCCCCAGCATATCCACCACTGGTTGAGCATCTGGATCCTGCTGATCCTCCGGGATCAGCATCTGCACCATCTCCCTCATGTACAATGACTGTACAAAAACAGAAAAAGAGAAAGCCCCAAGCAAAGCATCAAAAATTACTGCATGCGCTGCTTTGTAATTACATGTTATTGTTTACCTTGCCTGAATGTTGAAACTCTTGGGGATCTAGCCATGATATCTGTGTAATTTTGTGAAAATATTTCAAATTCTTCATCCTCAGAATCTAGCCCATTAAAAAATATGTTGCGCATAGATCCTACCATGCATTCTTTAACTTTAGCTATATCAAGCTTTAAAATTTTCTTTTTCCTCTATGGTTGAAAGCATGCACAAAAAAGCCAAGCAAGTATGAAAGCAAAAAAACATTGTTGATCATTTCTACAAAAGTAAAAAGAAAAATTGGCCAACCTTGTTCATTATGAACTTGACCAGCCAAACCAAGAAAACAGCCAGAGAAGTGGCTCCAGCCCCTCCAAGGCCCATGAAGACTAGGACCATTGCAGTCCAAGGGTCCACGTCTGCCTCAATGTGTGCAACACCATGTTTGATGTTGACTGTCACCTCCTGCGTAGACGACGGCGCCCTGATGACATGTGGCGCCTCTTGGGCCACCAAGATGCTTTGTTGCGTCAAGGGTGGCACCCAAACCATGAGCGGCATTTTGCTCGCGGCAAGTGGACGACCGCCAAGTTGGCCGTTGGCGCCACCGGGTGAGGCTCATCTGTATACATACAAAATATTTTATTAATATCTGGTGAAGGAAAAATATTTTTAGTTATGGTACAGGTGTTGGGTATGTGTTATGGTGTTATATGAAATGAAAGGTGTGATGTGAGTTATGTTTTTGATGTTTATGTTTGTGTGGAGAAGCTGAAAAATGACAACTCACCAACCACCGGCGGAACTGCTGCTGTCAAGATCTCCAGTTTGGGTGGCACAACTTCTTTCCACCACCTCCACGGTGTCATGACACAATCCATGTGGGCTCAATGCTCAACGCAGACCATTGGCAACAACAGCTTCACCTCCTGCAGAAACAAAAAAAGCTGCTATGTCCTCTATATACTTCAACACTGTCCAAAACTTACCTTGAGCCTGCCTGACGCAGTCCAGGAACTGGGTTGTCCTGACAAACATCACCCAACGTCCGTAACTGCCGGCGCCCCTCACATCTTTGCCGCAGACGTCTTGACACAGGAACGCCCTGGACCTCAGTCTGCACCAGCACCAACCAGCAGCCACAGCACCAACATTGTGATCTTCAGGAACGCCATCTGTGAAAATTTCAGAAACTGTTATTTCTGAAAAAGATTTTTTTTGGTTTTTCAATACTCACTTTTTGGTCGTTGAAGTCTTCTCTGGATGAAATTGAAGATCCCCACTAAGACAAAGTCACTCACCAAACGTACGATTTGCAAAACAATGTTTGAGGCCACCAGCTCCAGGAGACCCATCAACTTTTGACAACTTTTTGAGACAGGAAGTCATTAATGACGCTGCGTTGTCTGTTACAAAAATTGTTGAATTACAATCAGAAAAATTTTAGAAAAATAGAGTAAGCTAACAATGCTCACCAAAGTCAACCGCCAAAATTTCAGGCCCAACGGATCATCTGTTAATGAATGGCACTCCATGCCAACTGAAGAAGATGATATCATTCTTCTTGATCCAAACATCTGTCAGATCCATGCCTGATTCCTCCTGAGGTTTGGTAATAACAACTGCCATTCCCACAAAGCCTTTATGGCTCCTGAAAGAATCAGCAATGGAAAAAAGAGCACTGTTGCACTGAGTCTCACACTTGGTTCACTTGTTGTTCTTTTTTCTGCTGACATTCATAAAAGGATGGAACCTTTTTTTTTAATTTCTGCGGGGTGAGTTTGTTGACTTAGAAATACAGTAATTTACAGAAGACCCTTTTTGGTAGTCTCTGGGAAAACCTTTTTAGACAGCCTAGAAACAGGAAATCGCTAAAGCAAATATAATTGCTGCAATTTCCTTGATGGGAAGTCTTTACAGCTTCCATGGCAAGTTACAGTAACCGTCAACAATTAATTAAAATAGAATCAATCCTGAAATCCTCGTGGGCTCAACTCTTTATGAAATGGGAGTGATATTCGTATTCTTGCTCTTTTTACTGATGTGTAACCAGAGTAATTATATTCCACTCAAGAGCAATTCCATACTGTTCATTTCATGGATTGGGATTTCCATCATTAGGGTCGCAATGATTGTTTCCTTTGTTTCTCCCTTCCTTGCTGGCCAGGTTTAAATACCTGTGCTTGCTGAAATCTCAGAGAGATATCATCCAAGCTTTGTACTGTAAACTCCATAGCAGATACCTGGTAAAAGCGCAAACCTATGTTAAAGTAAAGCAAGCTGGACTTGTGTGTTTGTGCATTTTTATTGTTGTATTGAATGTTTGTATGTGGATGAGAATATTGTATAAAAGGTATTAATCCAAAATAAGGACGTAGTTCCTTTATTTTCTAGACTCCCAGTCCTGTAATAGAAAGGACAACAATTTGTGTACAGAACAACGTTGCCGGAATGGAACTGAAGTGGCAGTTACAGATTCCACCAAGGGCGTCCGTTGGCGGAACATAACTGAAGTGCTGGCAGTTGATCATACATACACCTATGAGCAAAAACAGTTTAGAATTTCACTTTTCTTTACAATAAATGCTCTGTACTGCACAATATACTTGAAAGCTTATTGCAAATCCCATTTCACTGCACTGAAAACTAGTTTTGACTGTACAAAATACACAAGCAGGCGAATATATATAAACCTGCAGGCTGTAGTCCTCATCAATATCAAAGCATAATACAACAT